GGCGGCTTCTTTATGCGGGGAGGAGGGGGGCGTACAGCGGACCCCGATCTCCGGGGCCTCAGTTTCCTCCTGTGCGAAATGAGTATTTGGCCCCGGACTGTGGGCATAAGTGGCCTAATCCTTTCTGAGATTGTTTTTTGTGTGAGACGAATGGACTCGATGTATTTGAGACCCCCTTCCGTATACCTTTGATACTGTATCATTTAAACATTCTCTGCCTCAGTTTCCTTTTGTGTAAAAATGAAAGCTTGGTTGGAAGTCCCTACCAGCCCAAAAGTCTGTGTTCCTCTAATCTTAAGTCATCTAATGTTTCTGGGCTTGTTTCCTCTCGATGGTCTTAGGCTCCAGAGCTCTGAACCTAGAACGCCAGAAACAGCTCCCCTCCCCTCACAAAAGAGGGGAACGCTTAATGAAGGCACTGAGAAACTTGACAGCGCACCCGAAGGAAAAAAAAAAGAGTTGAAAGAGAGGGTTTTTTTCAGGAGGGCTCAAAAAAACCCCAACAACCCCAAACCCAAAACAAAAAGCAAATGGGGAGGACTGGGTGAAAGGAGGGACACCGGGGTGTGTGGCCCAGCCCCATGGACAGAGGGAAGGGGACTGTGGGCAGGCTGTGGTTTCTCTTCTGGAAAGAAGGCTTTTTAAGTAACGGCTATGCAAATATGATAGCTTTTTAGGAGACCCTGGTGATAGACTAGAGTCTTGTATTCTGCTGGCTGATTTTTTTAAGATCTGGAGAAAATCTTTCCATTTGAAAGCAACCACAACAGATAGAGAAACCATCTTATGATGGTTAGATTGAGATTCTAAGAGATATTGGTAGAGGGAGGGCCCTTTTCCAAGAACAGTGTGGCCTGTATAGATGACTTCCTGGGCAGTATGGGGCCTGCCATGCCAGATGCTCTGGAGATAGGAAAACAAAACTAAAAACAGTCTGTACTCTTGAATAATAATGGGTTTTCCCCAGCTAGCCTCAGCTGCCCAGTATTGTGCAAGTGGACTCATGGAGGATTGCTCAAGTGTCTTCCTCCTTTGCCACCTCCCCCCTCCCAACTTGTTGCTCTCCTTTTCTTACTCACCCCTGCTCCCTATTTGCTGGGTTTAATTGGCAGGGCCTGTCACTCTTAGGCCCTTGGAAATAGGGCTTTGTTGTATGGGAAGCATGTGAGGCAGCTCCAGCCAGTTCTACTTATTTAATGTTTTAAAAAGTATGTCCATGGTGGGGAGGAGGATTGTTTCTTTGTCTTCATGTTTTGAAATGGACTGATTTTTTTCTTGGTTTTAAGGCAGCTGTTTTCTAATTTTGGGAAGTATGAGTGGATCACTCACCACTGACAGGAAAAGCTTTAAGTTTAACCTCTTGAATACCCACTGTCTAGTATTTTTTTTGGCAACTGGGGTTAAGTGACTTGCCCAGGGTCACACAGCTAGTAAGTGTCAAGTGTTTGGTCTGAATCCAGATTTGAACTCAGGTCCTCCTGACTTAAGGGCCAGTGCTCTATCCACTGTGCCACCTAGCTGCCCCATCTTGTTTTTCTTTTTACTGATTGAGATGATTCTGGCAAATCCTGAACAGTACTTTTAAAAACATACTGTTGAATTCTTTTTCCCTTTCTAGGTGGCCATGGCTACAGGGCAGGTGTTGTTTCAGCGGTTCTTTTATACCAAATCCTTTGTGAAGCATTCCATGGAGGTAAGTAGGAATTTTCCCCCTTTCCTCATTTCTATTTCAAGCTGAATTCATAAGATTTTAGCATATGAAGCTTAATCGACAACACGTTTGCTCTTTGTCCTAATTACAAAAACAAGGTATTCTCAGTAGATTATTTTTGCTTCGTTATGTTTGATAAGCTCTGTAAGTTGTAAAGCGCTGCTTATCGTACAGGTTGTTCTGGTACTTGTATTTACCTGCCATTTTCTCTCATTAGCCCTCCTTAAGCTGATGGAGGCGATCACAGTTCCAGATTTGAGCAAAACATCAGTATGTTGCAATACTTATATTTCAGCATGTATCAATGGCCTGTGTTCATCTGGCCTCCAAAATAGAAGAAGCTCCAAGACGGATAAGGGACGTAATTAATGTGTTTCATCGACTTCGGCATTTGAGGGAGAAAAAGTAAGTATTGTTCATGTTTTTTGAGTATATTCGGAAGAACCCTAGTTTAATTAGGATCATAGGGACTTTGAGAGGTCATCTGGGGTCTTATGTCCCAATCTGCCTTTTTTTACTGATGTGGAAATGTAGGCCCCTAGAGCTTAAGGGGCTTTTTCACAAGGTCACACTGGTCCTGTGTGGCAGAGCAGGGAATGAACCCAGATAAGATACTTTGGCTCTGCTGAGCAATAATTAGTGAGTCTGGGTTGGGGGTGGGGGGCAGTTGGGATTAAGTGACTTGCCCAGGGTCACAGGGCTAAGAAAGTATCAAGTGCATGAGGCTGGATTTGAACTCAGATCCTCCTGTGGGTTGTTATTGTTAAACTCAACTATACCTATTGATTATCATTTCCTTTGTCATCTCCTTTGGCTTTTGGTGAACTATACCTTTTGACTAGTTGAAAAGATAGTCTGATGTTCTTAGCTAAGTACTTTGTAATCTCTAGGTGAATGAAAATTATTGGTCTTCCTTTCACTGCACCTTTCAGAAGTTCTCATGCACAAGTCAGATCAGCCAGCATTTCTCAGTGCCTGGGTGCCCAAACTATTGCAATTAGAACCTGAGTTGTTGGTGTATGCAGGGAAGAGGAAAACCAGTGAGAATCAGTTAGTAGGTTAAAGATGTGGGATGAAGAAGAGTTGTTCATGTTCTTAGGGGAAAGGAGCTGAATCTGGCACTATCCTAGGTACGATGTTTTCAGTATACATACATAATGCCATCTCTTATAGATATGTACAATGGTGGTTTTAATTTTTCCGTTTGACTGGGCAATTTATTGTAGGAAACCGGTACCTTTGCTCTTGGATCAGGATTATGTTAATTTGAAGAACCAAATTATAAAGGCTGAGAGAAGAGTTTTGAAGGAGTTGGGGTTCTGTGTCCATGTAAAGCACCCTCATAAGGTTGGTATGTTCACTTATAAGGTCATTCTTGAAAAACGTGCTCCCATTAGATTGAACATGCATCAGCACTCATGGCCCAGTTTCTGCCATTTTAGCTAAGAAATAAAAAATCACGTTTGTCCGCTCTTCACCAGTGAATGAAGACACACTTGGGGCTGTCTGATTTGTTTGTCCAGTTTCTGTCAATGACATAGTAAACCTACTGGATTTCTAAAGGTTGCCGAATAGACGGCTCTGCGGCAAAAATGTACACTAGCTTGTGTGGGCTTAGTAGCATTTTTGTTTATCCTCATTTGTTCTCACTGCTGCTGACTTCATAAAACTGATTTGGTAATGCTCCATCTTTCTCCCACCTTGAATTGCCGGAGCTCCAAGAGCCCTTTTCTTTCTTTCTTTTCTGTTTTTTGGGGGGGGGCGGGGCAAGGCAATGGGGTTGTGACTTGCCCAGGGTTACACAGCTAGTAAGTGTAAAGTGTCTGAGGCTGGATTTGAACTCAGGTCCTCCTGACTCCAGGGCCTGTGCTCTATCCACTGAACCACCTAGCTGCACCCCCCCCCCCCAACCCCAGCACTTTACTCTCACAGTGAAGTAAATCTGATTATGTCAATTCCAGGAGCTCATGCACTTGAGTATTCTAGTATCCCCAGCAGTGAGAGGCATTTTTCCTTCCTGTGCTGTTAACTGGACTGTGATTAAACATGGCTCAGATTGGAAATTTAACGTTGATAATTGTGGTGTTTTTACCTAGATCTGCTAGTTTTAGATTTTTGAAAATTGCCTCTTGGCTTTTACTGAGCAAAATAGCAACCGAGATATGTAGGACAAGGTAATCTCACAGTGGAAGTTGAGTTGAGAGCAGAGATGAGATGAGAACTGCCTCGTGTGGAGTTGAGGCCTGTTTAGCAGGGTGCAGCTATAGCCCGTCTCCAGCATCCTGGTGCATTGCACAACAGGGAATGTGTATCATTCAGCAAATGCTCAGCATCCAGCAGTTGGGTCTGCCTGTCAGAATAGACCGTCATGAGGCCGCTCCTTGGAAATTTAGCATGATGACCTCATTTGCTGCATGGTTATCCCTATAAACTGAATTCTTGGATCTAAAGATTCTTGGTAATAACTGAATGACCCGTATCTTCCAGATAATCGTTATGTACCTTCAGGTGTTAGAATGTGAGCGTAATCAACACCTGGTCCAGACCTCATGGTAAGTTGATTTTTTTTGTTTTAAGAGACCAGCAAGGGCAGTGGCAGAAATATGTTGGTTTGAGGCACTTTGGGCAGTGGGTAGTCTATCCCATGACTTTGGTTGTGGGCTCCACAGTTGTCTGAAGTGCCCCAGTCTGCTGTGTAGATTTCGATCAGCTTCTTAAAATTTCAGGCACTGTCTTAATGGTAAGGTAGTGTATATCCTCCTCCCCTGTTTCCTCCCTATCCTCCATTGCTTTCCCTTCCTCTGAAGTGAGAGGGTTCAGCTGGTCTTTCCTTTGGGCAAAGTACATAAGGAAGTACTTAGTAACCCTCCCTGTGCTAGAGACCCCTGTCACCCATTGACTTGGAGCACTGGACATAGTACGGGGATGTCAGACACACTAAAATAGACCTAGGGTAGAAGCTTAACATCTGTTGCAAAACCTTTTCCATCTGCTTCTTTATTAAATCCCTGTGGGAGGAAGGAGAGGGACGGAAGAATTTCCTAAAATTCCAGGCGTTGATTTTAGTAATGTGTATTCTTGAAGCAAATTTTGATTTGACGGTTTAGTGTGTGTGGGTTTTTTGTGTTTTTGTGTTTTTTTTTTTCATGGAGTTAAATCTATTAAGGGTCATATTTCTGCTGACTGAACTGTCTGGTGCTATTACTTGTTTGATGGAGAACCTATTTTGACTTTTCTTTTCTGTACTCTTTTAATCAAAGGGTAGCCTCTGAGGGTAAGTGACTAAGACTTCTCCTCTGCTGTCCAAGCGCTTTGGTGCAGGGATAGCTGCCGTCTTCAGTCAATCCAATGCAGGCTCTCCAGAGAAGGCTGGCTCTAGACAGGTGGTATATACGATAGTATAGTAACTGGCCGACTGCTTCTTGTGGTTATCTTTGACTTTTTTTTCTTGTTCATTTTTTTGTTGTGCTTTGATGATTGTACTTATTAGATTTTATAACTGTCTTAACTTAAATTTTGTCACTTTAAAACTGCTGTACCTGTATGTTAAAGGTGTGCTAGCTTTTTCTTTGCAAAACTGTAGGGGGTGGGAGGGAATGGGGTTCAAAAGTGTGACAGATTGGTTGATAGTAGCCTGTGGTCCAGTTTGTCTTGGCTCAGACATATGTTGCTAAAAATTCTCTAGTTGCGCTTTTTCAGCAACAAGCCTATGGTCTAGTAAAAGGTACACACCTTTAAACTTTGATATACTTACTTAAACATTGTAAATTTCAAGTACAGCAATAAGTACAAGTATTCTTTTTAAAGGATCTTAATTGTTCTGTATTTTAGGACTGTTATTTTAAGGAAAGTGAATTGGGCACATTTATTGTTGATGGCTGTTTTATTAAAGAAGAAAATCACTGTGGCTAAAATGTTTAAAATGACCTGTTTACTGGCCAAAAAAAGTAGTAGCTCCTCCTGCCCAACAAATGTCCAGTTACCTTGTAGTGCGGGGTTTCCCAGAGTCTAAGGGTGACTTTTTTGTTGTTGTTTATTGATGCTTAGAGCAACACCTTTTGTAGCCAGGTAGAGTGCCTTCTTCATTTACAGTTTTAACAGCTTAATGTAATTCTCAGCAGCTTGTGGGTGGGCAGTATGTGCTTAATGCTGCCCTGGGCTTCAGGGAGAGATAGGATAGAGACCACAGTATGATGGTCTGGCCTACGACCCCTGGTTGAACACAAGGGGAATCCGTGGCTATACTTTGAAAACTCTTTGGAGTTGTCAATCATAACTTAAAAAAAAAAAGTTTTGTTCTCCCAGGATCAACCCTTATCTTTTGCCATACTTGATCTACAGCCAGATGCCCAAGTTCTGATTTTAGCCTATTAAATTTTAAGTGCCTTTCTCTGAAGGAATATGTTGAAAATGTAGTGAATTAATATTTTACATTCTGTTTAGATACAAACCTTTTGTATTTTGATTAATAACTTTTAAATTGCAATATAGTTTTGAAATGTGCTTACTGACTGTGAAACTTGCAGTATTTTATTGCCATTGTCTGATGTTGTGAATGTTCATTTTAAGACTCCTTGTTGAAATGGGACAGTTTGGAAACGATTCTTTGATAAACCAGCAGCGAAGAGGATTTCCCTTTGGGTATTGAGCCTTCCTCTGCATGATGTTCCCATATATCCGGATTACGCACAAGGGCGTTTGTCCCATCAGAATGGATTCTGTTCCGGATGCTGTGAATCAGTCCGTCATGGGAAATGGACAGGTTGAAAAACAAAAACAAACCAAAAAAACCCAAACATTTTTCTGATGCAAAGGAACTGCAGGGAAGAGGATGGCTAAACTCAGAAGAACTCCAGAAGGGACCAGTGCTCAGCTGTTGGCTTGAGTTTGCATGCTTCTCTGCACTACGGAGATTGAGCATAAATTCCTTTAATCGAATACTTTTAACCGCTATGGTAGATGTTGTCTTTCCAAAGCGTTGTGCTTTTGCATGAGAGCAGGCCAGTAGTCTTAGCAGGAAAAAGTAAAGTTAAAATTGGTTCTCTTTCATAACAGTATTATCTGACAAAGTCAGCTTTTAAAAAAAATTTTTTTTTACTGTCCCTCCCCTTCTTCCCTGTGTCCAGAAGAAGCTATTCTAATGATCCTCCATTAACTCTTGAGATTTACAGGACTGTCTAGCCCTCAGATTTAGAGGTAGAATGCTTAGAAATGGAGTGAGTTATAGTGAATGCAGACATACTCAGAAATGCCTTGGGGAGTTGCAGTTCTTTTGTGTTTGACTTTTAGGAACTATATGAATGATAGCCTTCGCACAGATGTCTTTGTGAGGTTCCAGCCAGAAAGCATTGCCTGCGCTTGCATCTATCTTGCTGCAAGGACATTAGAGGTCAGTATTTGACTTACCTTGTGTGAAATGGGTGGTTGAAAGGGTGGTGGTTCCCAGGAGATGAGCTTGTTTTGCATGACATTTTATTCAGATAGGTGAATTAAAATTTGGTTAGTTGACTTTCCTGAACTTGTAGTTTTGGAGATCAGTGGACAGTTGGCTGCATTTAAGTTTATAATGGGATTTCTAAAAATAATGAAAAAAATACTTTTACTAAGGTAATTCTTGGTTTTTGTAAACAAAATACCAACCGTCCGATGTCTTCATTCATTTTATAATGTCTGGCACTGGATGTGAATGTTGATGGTGTTGTTCCTTTTTCTAGATTCCTCTTCCTAATCGTCCTCATTGGTTTCTGTTGTTTGGGGCATCTGAGGAAGAGATCCAAGAAATCTGCTTAAAAATTTTGTTGCTCTATACTCGGAAAAAGGTTGATTTTATTTTTCTACTATTTTTGCTTTGGTATTTCCCCCCTTAATTATGTTTGACCGTTGTACTTTTATTTCTTGCCTCTTTATTTGGTCTGTTGCTATTTTTGTAGGTTGATCTGACATATTTAGAAAGTGAAGTTGAAAAGAAAAAACATGCTCTTGAAGAGGCAAAAGCCCAAGCTAAAGGCCTGCTTGCTGACGGGACTCCCGTTTTAGACAGCACATCAGGCTTTTCTCCTGTTCCTAAAATAGGTGAGTCTTTGGCCAGGTTTGATTTTTGTGTGTATGTGTGTGGGGTTCTGCTGGGCATGTGGCCTCGTAGGGAGGCTTCTTCCTTTGGGTTTTCTGATAACTGTGGTGTGGCAGTGTCTTCGGTTTCCTTCTGTAATCCTGTATATTTTATGCATCTAAAAGCATTCTGAGAAGGATGCTGTGACTCACAAAAGTTAGAGCCTCCTCTGGGGCCAGATGCTGCTTTCTGAAGACTGTCTTCTTCCATCTTTCTGAAGTTCCTGGTACATTGAAATTGTAGTGATCTATCCAGTCAGCCCTTTGATTATAAGAGGGGTGACTGATCAGCCAGAATTGAGTAAGCATTTCTGAGGTCCCAAGCATTAGGCAGAATTATGGAGAGAAAAATGAACAAGTCCTGCCCTCGGGGCGCTTACATTCTATCCACATGTGGTGAGCCTGCCCAGGAGAGTGTTTCCATGTAGGATGTGAGGCTTGAACTGAATTTTGAAAAGGGCAGCTGTGTGTGTGGGGGGGGGGGGAGAGTGGCAGAAGTACCAAAGCAGCCTTGTGTAACCAGCCTAGAAAGGCGGATCACAGCATGCTTATGAACAGAGCTTTCAACGTCACCCCAGATTTGTCTTTGATCCTTGAGGCTAGAGGGAACCCCTTGTCAGATGTCAGCTTCAGGAATCCTGTGGAAAGCTGTGTGAGGGACAGTCACCAAGTCCAGGGGAGATGGGGCCCTGGAGGAGAGGCATTCAGTTCTTTTCACAGAGTCACCTTTTGGAGACTTTCGTGTGGTGGAGACACAGGGTTGACCAAGTGATGTTCTCTGTTGAGGCCCATGTGCCGTGTTTTGTGTCTTGGAATGCCAGTGCCCCTTCCTGCCCTCTGCCTCCCAGGTTTGCCCCTCAGCTCTTCCCTGCTTCCTTTGACATTAGGAAGGACAGCTCCATTCACAAGCATGATGATTACCTCAGTGTGGGTAGGGAAAGGAGAGTAATAGAGCTTCAGCTTTTGTATTAAAGTTCTCTCTGAATCCTTTATTGTTGGCATTTCATGGAATTTCTTACATTTGTCTTTTTAGAATCCCCCAAAGAAAGCAAAGGGAATAAACCTTCCCCGCTTTCTGTGCAAGCAATGAAGAACGCCAAAAGAAAAATGGAGGGCGCCAAGAGGGCCAAATCCAACAGTCCAGTGAATGGGTGAGGCCTGCCTTCTGCCAGGGTGGGGCATTCTCTTAACCCCTTGGGTGGCTGATGCTTCAGTTCTGCCTAATGAGACCTTTCCTTTCACAGATTGCCGAAAGGCAGAGAAAGTCGGAGTCGCAGCGGAAGCCGAGATCACAGCTACTCGCGGTCACAGTCCAGATCCGCTTCTCCAAAGAGGAGGTACATGCAGCTTGTTTCTCGGCCTCCCTTTGGCCTTCTGTCAGGTGGTTCGTCTAGTGTAGAGCCAGGAGGGTGGGTGAGCTTTGGGTCTCTCAGGGAAGTAGGTTTCATGGTGTAAATATTTCATTGGGGCTGTTTTTCTGTAGAAAAAGTGAAAGCTGTTCGACGTCCAGTGGTTCAAAGTCCCAGAGCCGCTCTAGGAGCCGCAGTGATTCTCCCCCAAGACAGGCCAACCATGGTGGTTCTTACAAGGGCTCCAAGATCAGGAACTATAAAAAATCAAAGGACTATAAGTATGCAGCCCAGAAACCCCGGAAGTCTCGAAGCCGGAGCTCATCACGTTCTAGAAGCCGATCCAGGGAACGCTCAGATAACTCTGGGAAATACAAGAAGAAGAGTCATTACTACAGGGATCAGAGGCGGGAGCGTTCTCGGTCTTATGAGCGAACTGGCCATCGCTATGAGCGAGAACCCCCTGGACACAGCAGGCACAGGAGATGAGGCCTGGACCAGGCATCAGCAGGTGTGGTTCCTTCTCCCTTTGGATGCAGACAGGGCAGGGCCTCAGCTCCCTTCTTTCCCGTAGCCTGGGTAAGTTGGTGTCTGGACTGACTTGACCATCATCTCTGCTTTATTCGTTCCTCAGCTTATTAAGTATGAATTTAAAGGGAAATGGTCATTTAATGGACATGGTAATGAGACTGAAGGTAGAATCAGGTAGACAGCTTGGTTCCCCCAACAGCTGTCTGGTTGGGCATCCGGGCCTGTCCTTGGAAGTTGGCACTGGGTCCATCCCCGTAACCAGTGTCAGTCCTAGAACAGACGGATGGGCGGACACGGCCTCTTCTACCGACATGGAGAGCGGAGCTCTTCCTCGTTCCACTCCGACTCTGAAGGGCCCTTCTGGATAGAGCTGGAAGAAAGCTCAAATGTTTATTTAATTAAACTGTTGGTGTAGCTTGGTGCTAACTACAAGCTGTCGTTTTTCTTCCCCATCCTGAAACTCAATTACGTTAAACCAAGAAAAGTGATTTTTAGAACTTCTGCCTATATTAGGTTGTACTTGTGTATATATTTTGCAGTGTTTAACAGTACAATATGGTAATATGGCCTTACTAGGTACCCTTACACTTTATCCACATTGTAAATAAACATGTGTTTAATACAAGTTAAAGCTACTATACTGAAAATTCAGAACTTGAATTCTGTCGACTTAAAACTTGTGTAGAGAATTCTGATTTAAAAATGTGAAGTATTTAGATCTGTGTATTGAAAGTAGTCTATTTTTATCTGTGCAATGCTGAGTGCAGGACACCAGCTCATGAATAGAGAAGTTTCATATATATGCATTTTATGTGGTTTAAAAAAAACACACCTCTCTACTCAGGATATTTGAAACTTTGAAGAATTCGTAGTTTGTCATTCTGCTTGCTTGTTAAAACAGAAGATGTAAGAAACGATGAGTACACAGCCAGCGGTATCAGTTTTAGTGGTATATCTGAGCTGTTTCTTTCCCTGCTCCCTGATTTCATTAAAGTATTTGATTTTGTATTTAGCTCCTCTGTGTGTGTCCTTCTCTGGGGAAGCAGGCCAACTTGGGGCAGAAAGGAGGGGGGGGATGTAGCTTTCTGAATGGATTTGAAGAGTTTGGGGTGGGGGCGCTCACCAGAGGCATTGCTGGCCCTCACTCAGCGTGAGCTCCCACCAGGCCAGGACAAAGGTCAGCTATCTGCTGTGCAAGCTCACAAGTACTTGGGAAAACGGGAGGGGGGGGATTCTTTGGGGCAGCTTCGTCCAGCTAAAGTAACAGGCATTCGGGGGATGCAAGCTCCTGGGGTCACTGATTTGGGACAGCCAGGAAAGTGGGCACAAGCGCAGAATTTATAGCTTTGGGTCCAAGGGCTTTGAAGATTCATGAAGAATATCTGCACACGGCAGCTGGCAGAAAAGAGGCCCCAGTTCGTCTTCTTCTTGGGAAGAAGGGTGCCGGGGGCTGCAGTACCAGCAGAGCAGCTGGCTCCAGGTTTTGTCTGGCAGGATGTCATCCTGGGCCTGCTGACTGAGCCAGTCAACACCTGGGCCTGCCTCAGTACTGGCAAAACCCTCAGGCTGTCCCAGCAAGAGCCCTTGAAAGGCTGGCCTTTTCCGGTCTTGCCCCAGTAGGAATAAAGGCACCAGGAGAGATGAGCAGCTGGGTGGGCAAAGCGCACTTTGGCGCCCGCTGTAACGCATACAGGAAGGTGTGATTCGTGATTGGCTGAGAGGAGTCCGGTCCACCTTTCCTAAGTCCCCGCTGCCTCTGTGTGTGTACCTGTGCCTCTGCTTTCTCCAAAGGGTCTGAAACAGATGGAATGAAGTCCCAGCCCTTGCACAGGATGCTCTAAGCTAACTGGAAATCGTTACTGCAAAACCACTCCGGGCCCGTGTGGTAATTTGACCAGAGCAACCACCTCGGTTTGTTTGGGCCTCAACTTTCTGCACCTTGGCTAGGGAACATAGTAGATTCAGATTAAAAAGTGGCTGCTGCTAAATATTCCACCCACCCAGTTAACTTCTGGTATGGCCTAGCGAATGGGTGAATAACTCCTGTGCAAGGCTTGGGGTCGGCTTGAGCAGAATGCTCTTCAGAGCTGAAAATCGAGTTGGCAATTTCAGGAAGCAGGTTGCCCAGGACCTAGGCTACAGGCGTTGTGGAATCGTTTAACCAAGTTGAAAAGATCCCCTGATTCCCAGCTACTCCTGGAAGTTACTGCAGAGGGACCGTGGTCGTTAGGTCATTCCCTTTAATTCATTATCAGGGAGCTCATTTTTATGCCCCTAGTATGACTTACAACTAGGAGAAAGGCCTGATAAGAAATCTCGATGAGGGAAGGTGGCGGTCCTCAAGGGGCAGTGGGGGATGGACAAGGAGGTACCAAAGGGGAGTAGGCATTTGCCTTGTTCAGTGTGGTGCTCTGTAAAGTTCCAAAAGAAAAATTTTCTGCTCCCTGTTGGCAGGGGCCAGTTGAAAGTAAAGAGGCATAATCAAGGAAGAAGACTAGAGGGGCAGCTAAGTGGCTCAGTGCATAGAGCACCGGCCCTGAAGTCAGGAGGACCTGAGTTCAGATGTGGCCTCAGACCAAACACTTGACACTTATTAACTGTGTGGCCTTGGGCAAGCCACTTAACCCCAATTACCTAAAAAAGAACAAAACAAAAAAAATAAGAAAGAAGACTAGATAGGTTCTCGTTTTTATTTTTACTTTTAGGACTTGGGTTTTTAATCTTACCGTGAATCTTTTTTTCCCAATATATCTTTATTTCATTAAATATTTCCCAGTTACATGTAAATTTTTAAAACTTTTTTGTAATTAAATTTTATTATTTGTTTTATCATTTAAAAAAATTGTTTTTACTTCCAGATTCTCTCTCCCTTCCACCCGCACTGGCACTCACTGAGAAGACAAACTATACCAATTATACGTGTGAAATTATGCAAAACATTTCCATATTTTAGCCATCTTTCTTTTTAAAAGCAAGAAAAGTAAAGTGAGAAAATGATGCTTGAATTTGCACTCAGTTCCTCAGTGCTCTCTCTGTAGGTGGGTAGCATTTTTCATCACAAGTCCTTTGTATTGATCAGAGTAGCCAAGTCTTTTACAATTGATCGTCATTACAACATTGCTTTTCCTGTGCACAGTGATCTGGTTCTTCTCACTTCACTTTGCATCAGTTCATAGAGATCTTGCCATTTAACATTTATTTTAAAAAATTTTTGAGTTCCAAATTCTCTCCTTTCTGTCCCACCCCTTCTCCTTGAGAAGGCGAGAAATTTGATATAGACTGTACGTGTGCACTTATGTAAAACATCAGCTCTCTCTACGTGACTCCCAAGTCTATAGATTCAGCCCTCATCTTTCTCCTGATAATACGTGTTAATTATTAGCATTAGTCTTTAAGACCTCTGAGACTTGGTGACTGTTGGCAGCTCTGCCTATTAATTTTAAAAGATTTCCCATTTACAATCCTTTTTAATCTTTGACCAGTGAGATTTAATGGTGTTTTTTAAAATGTGATTTTTGTTGTTCAGTTGTTTTTCAGTCATGCCTGGCTCTTCGTCACTCCATTTGGGGTTTTCTTGACAAAGATACTTGGAGTGGTTTGCCATTTCCTTCTCCAGCTCATTTTACAGATGAGGAAACTGAGGCAAACAGGGTCAAATGATTTGCCCAAGGTCATGAAGCTAATAAGTGTCTGAGATCAGATTCGAACTCAAGAAGAGGAGTCTTCTTGACTCCAGCCCTGGCATTCTATCCATTGTGCCTCTCCACTCCACACCCCCCCCCATGATATATTTTATTTAAATTAAAGGATCCTTCCGGAAATTGTTTGGCAGAAATGTTCCCAGCATGCCAATTCCATCTATCTAAGAATTTGCAGGGGCATTGAAGTGACGCAGTGGATAGAGTGCTGGGCCTGGAGTCAGGAGGACCTGAAGTCAAATCCATCCTTACTAGCTGTGTGACCCTGGGCAAGTCACTGCACCCTGTTTGCCTCAGTTTCTCATCTGTAAAATGAGCTGGACAAGGAGATGGCAAATCGCTCCTGTATATTTGCCAAGAAAATCCCAAGTAGGGTCACAGAGTCATACATGACTGAAAATGTCTGAACAACAAAGAATTTGCAAGTCTCATACCCGTAGTGGGTATGTGTAAGAAACGCTGACGTCCTGCTTTCAAGGACAGAGGTATCTCTATCTTTAAAGAGGTCTTATTCCTCAAAACTTCCGGTTGGATACTCCTTTTAGTAAAGGGGAGTCTGACCTCATTGAGTAGGAACTGGATCTGGGTTGTTTGTCCTTTCTTCTCGAAGAAGATCATGACATTAGGAAGATGATGCCATGACTTGCAAGTGGATTGGATTTAAGTGAGGCAGGGCTGTGCAAAGTCACCAGCCTCACTTTCTCCTCCGGAGCCATCTGGATTCAGTGGCCAGATATATATAGATCAGGACTGGAGATGGCCCCCCCCTCCCACGGGAAACTGGGCTTCTGACCACAAGGGAAGACTGACTAGTTATATTCTTCACCAGAAGGCATGACTGACTATGTATAGCAATTATCTCAAAGATTTGCTTCTAAACAATTATATGATTCTGTGAGCTACCTGATTTTTCTCAGTTATCCCCAGCATAGTTTTAAATTTATGGTGCTATGATCCTATCTATACTAGTTAGATGCTGGGCTGGGAAGAGAAGTCTTGCTTCAGCCCCAGCCTGAGTTACTGTGCTGTTCTGCCGCTAGTGAGTTTTGCAACAGCTTCCCAGCTTTTCGGCCGCGATGATCTTAGGTCTACTTGCCAGCCTTTATATCTAAACAGAACAGGTCCACAAACAGAACAAGCCGCGAGCAAAAAATGTCAGATGTGCCACATTATGTCAGTTCCTGTTTAGAGATTTACAATGCATGAGAATTCCCAAAGGGGCTGGGAATAGCTGAATTCTGACTCATACATCCCAGGCTTTGTCTGTTATGCACATGCTAAAGAGAAAGGTAAGGAAAATGTCCCTACTACTACCTGTTCCTTATAAGGTTTATATATATAAAATTTACATATAAAATTTATTATATATTATCATGTATATTACATATAACATATATATATTATTCTATATGTAATTCTATTTATTAGTTCTTTCTTTGGATGCTGATAATGTCTTTCTTCATATATCCTTTATAGTTAATTTGGTTATTTATAATAGCAAAAATCACTTACTCAAAGTCATTCCTGATTTTTTTTTGTCTGTTTTTTGGCTAGGCAATGGAGTTAAGTGACTTGCCCAGGGTCACACAGCTGGTAAGTGTTATGTGTCTGAAGTCAGATTTGAACTCAGGTCCTCCTGAATCCAGGGCCAGTGCTCTATCTACTGCGCCTCTCAAAGTCATTCTTAAAACACTATTACTGTTGTTGTTTACAATGTTCCCTTGGTTCTGCTCATTTCACTCTTCATTATTTCGTGCAAGTCTTTCATGTTTTTCTAAAACCATCGAGCTCATCATTTCTTATAGCACAGTAGTATCCCATCAAAACCATATACCACAACTTGTCCATCTATTCCCCATTTTGATAGGCATCCCCGCAACTTCTTGGCCACCACAAGCAAAGCCGCTATAATTATCTAAAAAAATGGGGCATAAAAGGAAGGACAAATATAGAGGAAACAGGTAGGGGTGGAGGGCTGGTCGTGTTGGAACTTTACTCTCATTTGGGACTTTTAAAAGGATGTATAGAATAAGATTAGGAGGATGGGGGGAGAAAAAAAGGGAGGGAGTTTTAGAGGGGTGGGTAAAAAAAGGGAATAAGAGGGTAAAGGGAAAAGGTGAGATAACAGGGATAGGGTAAAAAGAGAGCCTGAGAAGGAAAATAGTGAGTAAAAATGAGATGGAGGGAAATTCACAAATAGTAATTAGAACTTTGCCAAATCTATAAGAATATGAGTCATTCCCCAATTGATAAATGGTCAAGGGATATGAACAGGCAGTTTTCCAATGAAGAAATCTAAAGAATTTATAGTCATATAAAAATGCTCTAAATCATTACAGATTAGAGAAATGCAAATTAAAACAACCTTGAGCTATCATTTTACATCTACCAGATGACAGAAGGGGAAAGTGACACACGTTGCAGAGGCTGTGGGAAAATCGGGACATGAATTCATTGTGGAATTGTAAAATGATCCAACCATTTTGGAAAACAATCTGGAATTATGCCCAAAGAGTTATTAAACTGCCCTTTGACCCAGCAATACCATTACTTGGTCTGTTTCCAAAGATGATTAGGGAAAAAGGAAAAGGAGCTTATATTCTAGTGAGGAAAGATGGCACGTCAAGGGGACTTGGAAGAGGTCTTGGTGGAGATGGTCCAGAAGTCACGTAGAGGCCCACGTCTGGGCCTTATAAGCTTCTTGCGGGCACGGACTGTCTTTCTATTCTCATAATTACATCTCCCTTGCTTAGCAAAGTGTTTACTGACTTGGATTGAGTCTAAGAATAAATTAAGGCTTGATAAGAAGAAAGAATGCCCATCTGGGGCATTGTTTCCTTAGAACTTTTTCCAAGCACAGATAAGGTTTGAGATCTAGGACTTTAGACAAGAACCCTGAAATGAGACTTGTCAATATTTTCCTTTATCCAAGGTGTCTAAGTATGAGGAGATGCTGTTTTCTAGAGCTAAGGCCCAGCAAGCAGGCTGTGCGTGCCCTGAACTTGACGTAACAACGGTCCTTTGCACTCACCCTCTGGCAAAATCACATAATTACTATGTTGCTTTGACCAGCACCAGGTATTCCCCAGACAAACACTGGGCAAACTCAGACAAGCACCTGTGTTCCTGTCATGGAGTCCTGCTGTGAATCAAACTTGTCTCATTATTGGCGTTGCCTCTCATCGTCAAGGCTGCATACAGCTCACCGTGCGGCCGTTGGGATGAGTATTGAGATCTCCCCACGCTGCGTTGGGGTCTCTCCACCAGGGGCTCCAGCACATGTATCCTTGTTTGCAAGTGACTTCTCTCTCTCTGAAATGAAACTTCTCTTTGATTCCTGACTGTCCTCTCTGTAGCCTGCCCTGTTTGGCTCCGGCCACCCACAGGTTAGAGGCTGGTTCTGTCCAGTTGACAAAGGACACTGAAAAAATATTATTTCTTAATATTTTCTTCAAGAGGCGCTGTGACTTCAAATCCAGCCTCTTAGCACCAACTAGCTCTAAGAGCCTTGGAAAATCATTGACCTCCCAGCACCCCAGGCCATGTTCAAGTTCTGTAGGTTGCATAGAAGATGCTGAGTCTCGCATTGGCAGATATGGTTTCCTTATCTTGAATCCTTATTCCCTATACTAATGAAACTGCAGGTCTAATCCCTATGCAGGTGCCCTAATATTTCCCTTATTAGGGAGAAAGGGGGTCTTAGTATGTTTCCACAGGGGAAAGAAATCAAGTCCTGTTTATAGATGAATAAAATCTCATGATTTTAGAAGGCTAGTTTCTCCTAGCACTGGAGGGGTCAGTGGAATGGTCTTTATCCTCCACTGGAGTCCTAAGGGCCCTGGCTGGGCTAGAACGAAGGCCTGTGGACTGAGGCTATTTATTTTTTTCCCCCCCGATTAGGCAATGGGGTTAAGTGACTTGTCCAGGGTCACACTGCTAGTAAGTGTTATGCGTCTGAGACCATATTTGAACACAGGCCCTCCTGAATCCAGGGCCGGTGCTCTATCCACTGCGCCACCTAGCTGCCCCGATTGAGGCTATTTCTACAGACTTATGGGGGCAGCTGATTGCCCTAATCACAGATTAGGTTCAGTGACCAGGTAAGAACAGAGCTTTAAAAAATAAAAACAAAGTCAAAGCCAGTTTATTGACCCCATGTAGGGAATAGAAGACGGTCAGGAGGGCAGAAATATCAATTGTCCATCCCCAAGTGACCTTAGTCTCATGATTTTCTCAGACCTGCTTGTTGGTTTCCTTCTGTTGTGAGAAATCAGTGACTGGGCTCTCCAGTGAGGCGAGGAGTGGAGATGAGATCTCAGCAGGCGAGTGAACCACAGAAGGCTAGACCTGGGGTTCACTCCTAGGTCTCCTAACCAGTTCCCGAGTGACTTTGGACAGGTCACCTTTCCTCCTCGGCTTCCTCATCGGGTCAAAACGACAGGGCTGGGCTTCATGGTCTGCAAGGACCTTCCAAATCTAAATTCTATGGCATTGATGCCATAGGACATGGGGGAAATAATAATAATAGGAGGGGATACAAAGAATGGGAAAAATTGGCCTGGGAGTGTGCTGGGGATGGTTTTCCTTCCGCCAACATGTGGCTGGCTGTAGCGTAAAGTCTTGGGCATTCATAATTAGCTTCATGCTTCCCTCCTTTGCAGGGATAAAGCTTGGAGTGTGTGTGTGTGTGTGTGTGTGTGTGTGTGTGTGTGTGTCTGTCTGTCTCTCTCCCTCTTTTTTTTTTCTTTTAATACTGCAGGTCTCCCCAGCCTTCAGCAGCCCCATAATTTTCCTTCTTTCGTTCTGGGGCCTGGTTTCGCATGCACCAAGGTACAACTGTGAAGCGTTAATCTCCATCCAGGCCTGACAAGCATGTGTTTTTCTTTAGTGAGGCGCTATCTGGAACAGCTCCTTCCTAGGTAATTGAGGATTAGGGCTCAGCCAGATCGGAGGTGGGCTGGGCTGGCTTTTATTACCCATTTGTTTCCAGGGGAGTGGGGTTTTTGCAGCTGCCCCCGGAGCACTGGCTGAAGACCCGCTGGCTTGCTGCCCATGTATTCACTCCTGGGGAGAAGACTTAAGACTCAGCCCGGGGCGGAGGAATCTTGTTTAGTTCCCAGCATGGCCTCTGAGCCGTAAGCAGACTTCCTGCCGTCCTTACCCTTGCCTCATTTTCCCTGTTCCCAAGACAGGGGTCATGGGCCTTCCTCTTTGGAAAGGGCCTTGGAGATCTGTGAGCGATTGAGACAGGGCTGCGCACTGCTGCTCTTTTTAGGACTTTGCTCTCCTATCAACCAAACAATATTTAGTCTACACCTACTATGTGCCAGTGGGCAGCTAGGACATGCAGTAGGTACAGCGCTGGGCCTCGAGTCAGGAGGACTCCTCTTCCTGAGTTCAAATCCAGCCTCTAGTTGTGTGACCCTGGGCTTGTCCCTGCTTGCCTCAGTTTCCTTATCTGTAAAATGAGCTAGAGAAGGATGTGGCAAATCACTAGCTACTTGTCCCTGCTTGCCTCAGTTTCCTCATCTGTAAAATGAGCTGGAGAAGGAAATGGTATCTCTGCCAAGAAGCCCCCAAAATGGGGTCACGGAGAGAATGAAGAATAAGACTTGCCAATATATTGTTTTCAGAAAGAGTTGTGGTGGTACCTGGCCGGCCCCCGCCCTGTGAGACGTTGTCATCTACAGTTTACAAAACAGTTACCTGAGCCCATTTCACAGGTGAGGAAACTGAGGTCTGGAGAAAAGAGTGCGCTGCCCTCCCTTCTTCTGCCATCTTTCAACTACCAAGCATCAGGATTGGCATTGGAACACAAGGCATCATGGGTACGTTGCAGGTCACTGATCCTTCTCTGAGCCTCGGTTTCCTCGTCTGTAAAAAGTATATAACAGACGCAGGGATTAGATCTGGCCTCTCCTGCTTTCTTTTGGCTCCAGGTCTACGGTGTGTTGCACCCACTGAGTCTCTAATGCCCAAGATCTAATTTCTCATATAGCCAGTCAGACCGCATCTCGAGGTTGGTTCTGGCCACCGCGTGTTTGGAAGGATGATGCTAAGTCTGCAGAGGGAGGGCCTCAAGTCTATGTCTCGTAAGGACCAGCTGGAGGAGCTGGGGTGGGGGTGGGGGGGGTGGGGGCGGGGGTGGGGGTGGCCAAAGACAGAGCCACAGACTTAGAGCCAGAAGGGCGTTTTGGTTTTTGATGCTGTTCAGTGTTTTCAGTCATATCGGACTCTTCTTGACCCTGTTTGGGTTTTTTTGGGTTTTTTTTGGCAAAGATACAAAAGCAGTTTGCCATTTCCTTCTCCAGCTCATTTTACAGATGAGGAAACTGAGGCAACCAGGGTCAAGTGACTTGCCCAGGGTCACACAAACAGTAAAAACAGTATGTATACGACACTTTAAGGATCACATGTTGTCTCAAACCACCTACCCTCCTCTGGTCTCAGTTATGGCCTCTCATAAAACGGAGATAATAATAACACCTCCTTCCCAGGGTTGTTGTGAGGTGTTATTATTATCTCTGTTTTATGAGCGATCATAACTGAGACCAGAGGAGGGTAGGTGGTTTGCCCAAGGTCATGCAGCCAGGAAGTATGGGATTTGAACCCGGGTCATCCTGGGCCCCAGTTCAGCATTCTCTCCTCTCTGCTGTGCTATCTCTCATGTTTAGCCTGGAAAAGAGGAAGCTCAAGAGAGAAGGGATAGCTGTCTTCGAGTATTTGAAAGAATTTAGGCTTGATGTCAGGAAAATATTTTTTAAGCAATTAGAGCTGTCTAAAAGTGCCTCTGGAGGTAGCGTATTCCCGTTTTTGTGGGGATCTTAAAAATGGAAGTCACTAGGGGCAGCTGGGTGGTGCAGTGGATAGAGTATGGGCCCTGGTGTCAGAAGGACCCGAGTTCAAATCCAGTCTCAGACTAGACACTTGATACTACCTGTGTGACCCTGGGCAAGTCACTTAACCCCAATTATGTTGCCAAAAAAACCCCAACCCAAAACTGGAAGATGGCGGCCGCTGCATCTGGTAGGTTGAAGTGGACATTCTTCTGGCAGTCTGAGATGGTTGGTCTTTGTGCTTCTAAGGTCCCTGCTAACTCTAAAATTCTGCGATCCTGGCAGATGGGCTGGAAGTCGTCCCTATTTTATTAAAGAACTGAGTTGGTGACTAGTCCAGGCCGTGAACAAAGACCGTACCAGGTCAATGAGGAATAGGACCCCCTCGGTTAAAGTTTTGCTTTGGGGTTTCAGGGGCCGCAGGGTTGGGGAAGCTGAAGCAGCTGGCCCTCCAGTATCAGAGAGAGCAGCTGGTGGGCTTTGTCCTTAGAGCCCTTGTGTTTGAAGTGCTGTCTTTTGCCTCTTTTTGCATTTCCAGTGCTTAGCACATAGTAGGCGCTTAATAAAAGTTTATTGATTTATGATGATGTGATATTAGTAGAGTGATCTTATGCAGGCTGGAGCAGTTTCCCTCTCTGTGGAAGAAAATGCTATATTCTGTACTTTGGGCACAAGCCAGTCAGTCAGTCAATAAATATTTATTAAACGCTTACTATATGCCAAGCCCAGTGCTAAGCGCTGAGGGCACAAAGAAATATAAAAGACAGTGTCTGCTCTCCAGGGCCTCCCAATCTAATTGGGGAGATAGCATGTAAGTAGCTATGTATAAACAAGCCATATACAGGACAAATTGGAAATACCCAATGGAGGCAAGATCCTAGAGTTAAGATGGGTTGAGAAAGGGATCGTCTAGAAGGTGGGATTTTGTTTTTTGTTTTGCTTTTTTTTTTTATGAGGCTATCAGGGTTAAGTGACTTGCCCAGAGTCACACAGCTAGTAAGTTTCAAGTGTCTGAGGCCGGAATTGAACTCAGGTCCTCCTGACTTCAGGGCTGGTGCTCTATCCACTGCACCATCTACCTGCCCCCAAAAACACTTTAAAAAATTTAATTTAGATTATTTTAATCTTTTCTTTTTTTCCTGACTGGGTCTCCCTATCTTGCCTAGGCTGGAAGTGAAGTGGTCACTCACCAGCCTGATCCTACTGCTAACTGGCATGGGAATTTTGACCTACTCCATTTCCAGCCTAGTCAGTTTGCCTCTTCTTATGCAGCCTGGTGGTCCCTGGTGATTTGAGGGTGTCCCTCACCTAGGTGGCATGGGCGTGTCATCGTGTGATTTAAAAGGAGAGGGAATAGATATCCCTTGTCTCTTCCCTCCCCACCCTTTATTTTCTGCCAGGTGGGGACGCAGGAGATTGGGACCAAAAGCTTGGTCACCCTGCTCTCCTCAGAGAGAGAGAGGGTGCCAGGGCAGAATTAAATCTGTTTCCTTAAGTATTATTAGTCTAGGAGATATAGTTTTAGGTTCAACCTAATTTCTGAATCCTCTCTCTTACTAGGGGAAGCAGGATCCCAGGCTTTATATCCAAGGTTTGACTCCTTTCCCACCAAATACCAATTCCATAATGAATCCACATAGCAATTAACAAAGAAGCCCATTTATCCAATTCTATGGCAAACAGAAATCAGAGAAGATAGATCTACATAAGATAATATATATCAAACAATGCAGAGTGAGGGAGTTCTCCCATTGGGAGGGAGGGAATTCAGCTCAACCAAGAGAGTCCCAGATCTCACCCAAGGGGAAGTTCCCCAAAGTCTCTAATGTAGAAATGTAGGGAGAGAGACGTGCTGGAGACTGCCTGCTCCTCTCAGTTTCTTCCTCTAGTCTTTTCCTTCAGCAGTCTAAAGTGGGGTTGGCATCTCCCGTCTTGTGGGATGGAAGCAAGAAATGTCTGAAGCAACCGTACAACTTGAAGAGATTCAAAGACAGGATCTGTCCTCACTGCCACTCTCACCAGCTCTGCCCCCGCCTCCTCAGACGGGAGGAAGATCTTGGTCTTCATCAGTAAGGAGAGAATCCCATACTTTGGAACTCAGGTTACACCGCTACTGACTTTAGTTCAGAAAGCTCAGCCTACCACATCACAGAACTCCTGAACTCAAGCGATCCACCAGTGTCAGCCCCAGCCTCCTCCAGGAGCGGGTATCATGGGTGTGTGCCACCATGCCTGCCTTAGAATATTCTAGTGCAGGCATTTTTCTCTCTAGATAGAGCAAGAAAGAGCAAAGGATAGGAAGAGATACTCCATGACTCTGAAAATCTCTCTGTGACCCCAGTCATTTTGACATTCCAGTTACAGCCTTTCTGGATGAGAGAACAGATTCAGGGATAAGATGAGGCATAGGTAGAGTGCTCAGGGTAAAGTTCAGTTCACATTTTGCTTCATCAGATAGAATCGTAGTCACCTAACTCTTGGCACACACACTTAGAGAATCACTGTCCTGAAACCATTCCATCCTGCTTTTGGGCACTCCCTCTGAGGATTCACCTTTCCAGCTAGTCAAAGGTGAACTCATAAGATGCTTGCATTAACCAAAGCAATCAGAGACTTTTGTCCTTTTGATTAGCACTACCCTGATATGGTCAATGTAGGTCAGTTAGGGGCCCCTTGCCTAGGTCCAATCACTGCCCTAGTTAGTGCCAGGAGGAGCCCTTCCTGGGCCAACAGGGAGGGAGAAGCTCAGGACATTGTATTGAAATTGATAGTTGAAGAAAGATTATTAAGATGTTTCTTAAGACTGCTTCAAACTAGGAGAATTTAAAAATGCTTTGTTAATACTTCTAAAAAAGGGAGCAGAAGGTCAGGGTAAGTCTACTTCCATATTCCCTACTAATTGGTGGTGGGATATATTAATCTTTGTTCAGTCATTTTTCAGTCCAACACTTCATGCCCCTATTTGGGATTTTCTTGGCAAAGATACTGGAATGGGTTGCCATTTCCTTCTCTGGCTCATTTTACAGATGAGGAAACTAAGGTAAACAGGGTGAAGTGACTTGCCTGAGGTCACACAGCTAGGAAGTGTCGGAGGCTGGATTTGAACTCCTGAAGATGAGTCTTCCTGACTCCAGGCCCTGTGCTCCATCTACTCCACCACTCATCTCGTTGGTTCCAAATATGAAGATATTTACATTATGCTAAGGCAAAACAATAAAATGGCAAGAATGGTTCTGAACATTATAACAGGAAGCCAAGTGACATAATGGAGCTGAGGGCATTGTCTTGACTTAGGGCAAGTTATATTGAGTGCAGTCCAAGAAAGCTCTGCAGTGGGTGGAGGTAGAGTCCACTGTTCAAACAAAGCTCAACCCTCCAGCCCTTTAATTTCCTGAACAGTTCCCGGGAGGCTATGTGTATTAGCAAAGCCGAATGGTGAATCGAGGTGGTCTAATGGAAAGGAAATTGGAACCTAAAAGTCACATTATTCTGCCAGTCAACTGGCCAGCATCAGATTCCCTCAGCCATAACTACTGTTCAGAATGACATTCTGAATCTCTATGTAGATTCTTCTAATATGGCCATTACTTTCATCTCGAGAGGATAACCCTCATTCTTTGTTTAACCCAATAAATCTTTTCCTCCTCATCTCTCACTTTGTGTGCCCTCTAACTAGACGATTGTAAAGGTCAGGGAGTCTACTAATTTCCCATTCCATACCAAATATCTGGCAGCAGAGACTAGGGACTGGGTCCATTATTAATCTGGACTTGGGGAAGATGATGCTACAGTCACCGTAGAATCCCCTTAACTAAAGACAATGCAGTTCCATCCACTGAATGATGCTTTTTTGTGCCCATCACGACATCTATCTTTGAAACACCAATGTTATATGTTTCTATGTAGTTCTCAACCTGCTTCTGATCGGTGAATTAGTTAAATTGACTCTCTTGCCCAGCCTCAAGGCAAGAGGCTTGCACTCACTGCAGTAAATACTTATTCAGAACATGAGATTTCAGTGCTGGTTAAGACACTGTGCTTCTGGGCCCCCACCAGCAGCCTCAATTTGGTATTAGAAAAGACCTTTACAGAAGGTTGGGCTGGGGTGGAGGGAAGTGAGGGAAAAGCAAGCTGGGAGGTGCTGCACCCACTTCTAGTAATTTCCAGGCAGTCAAAAGGCCACGCTCAAGGACCTAGAAAGCCACATGTGGCCTTGAGGCTGCAGCTTCCCCACCCTGGGATAGAATACAAGCAAA